AGGAATGAAAATTTTTCCTACTAAATTAATTTCTCTCATGATTCTTAATTTGAATATAGTTTCTTCTTTCTAATGTGTGTGTTTCCAGGAAATTACTGATGCAGCTAAGCTTTCAGATTTACTATTATAAAATCTGGTCCTCTTCCTGTTCAACTTTTTGATAACACTTATAAAACAAACCTTCCAACTTACATGTGTTGATGTGTGTATTTTTCTTCCATGCCAAGTGTTGAACCCAGGGCCCGCACATGCCAAGAGTGTGCTCTGCCAAACGATAGTGCGGCCCTGTCCCTCAGGCACGCTGGGCAGAGTGGCTGAGAACAGCACCCGTTTCCAGCTGTGAGCTGGGCTCTGGCTTTCTGTTTCATGTGGAGCACTTTTAGATCCCCTTTAACCAACAGAAATAACTCACAGCGATAACGAGCCTTAAGTGCCTTATGAATCAGCTTTCCCCAAATATTTGTTTTTCTGTATCTAGAGAGATGTTCATTTTGTATTGAAGCCAAGCCATATTTTTTTAATGCTTTTTTTTTTCCTGCTAGCTGTTTGCAGCAAAGAATGTCATTGAAATGTGAACTCACTGCAAAGCCTAGATCAGAAATTCCTCCTTGGCCTTACAATTTCTCAGTTTAAAGCCCTGGCTACACCTCCCTGCTTCCCCCAAATGTTAAGAGAACACAGGAGTAAACAGGTTTGATGTTTTCTTTGAGTTATTCCGGGTCGTCTCCTCCTTGCCCTTTAACAGAAGCAACTATCCCAGCTTAGTGACTGGACTGTGGGTGACTCAATCTCCATTCTTCAGGCTTCTAGAAGACACCCCAACAAGTTCTGCTGACCATTCATGTTATTTGAAAAGCCAAATACAGTTAATCCAAGTTTTCACACAATTAATGCATTTTCAATATAAATGAAAAATAAGGTGCATTTTACCAATTTTTTAGTAATTCCTTCCGTTGTATTCCCTCAGAAGATGATTAATTGAGGCATCTTAGTTCCGGGCAGGTAGAGAAGTATGCATACAAACCAAGAATTCTGAAGAAATGCCATTTGACTGGGTTCCGTGGATGAAACCCATTTTCCTAACCTTTTTTCCTGCAGTGCTTCTTGGGCCAAGTTGAGATTCTATTTGCAGTGTCAGTTGCTGCCATCCAGTGGCTGTTGGGAAGGACTAGCATGACTTTAAAAGTAACTGCCTGGAGAGAGCCCTTGAAGAACCCATCCTACCCCTTCACTCTTATCAGCGCCGTGAACCTAAATAAAAAGATGGAGGGTAGAAGAAAGGGGTTTGTGAGTACTCATATTTTTATATCATGAAGCAAAAACCTGGCTCTAAGAATTTACACAGAGATGATTTTAAATGAGGAAAATGTGGTGGCTTCTTTAGATTCAATTCTTCAAGTGTCGTCATGTATTCGCAGAGACCCCATAGTCTATTTTAAGGTAGTCCCTGTGCTCAATCAAGGCAGCATGGAAGTCAGTGGGCCAAGCTGGGAAGGAGCCAGCAGAAAGCCCCAGAGGGTTTGGAAAACAACCTGCTCCCAGAACTGTTGAATCCAAGTTTCCAGAAATTTCTTTTTTTGATTCCAGAAGATCCTGATAGTAAACCATTTGGGGAACAGATAGTGGCAGGAGGAACATAGGTGTTTGAACTGGACACACCTGCCTTTGGACTCTGGAGATGCCACCATCTAGCAAGGCAAACACAGGCCCATGAGCTCCTAATCACACACAGGAGCACGGGATGACATACCCAGGCCTGAGCGTTGTGTGCCACACAGGCCCAAGTCAGAAGAACCCAGTCCTGAATACTCACTCCCAGTGTCCAGGACTGCAAAGGTAGTTCCCTGTTCTCCTTCCCGAGAAGCTCCCCCTGAGGCGACTGCTGACTCTCCCTCCATGCCCCAAGGGCCTCCGCTCCCTTGGTCTCCTTTCCCTTTTCTCCTCTTCTCTGGCGTCTCAGCTAGTTGCTTCCTTCTGAGTCCCTTTTGATTTGCAACTTCATGCCCTGCCAATCGACAGCTAGGAGAGCAACCCTGCCTGACTAGTACTGCTCACTTCTCATTGCATCTTGGCTAACTCAGGTTTAAAGGTCACTTCCTCATCACAGGTGAGCATGGCGCAGAGTTCCACCCCCTTCTTACCACAAAAGCAAAGTGCCTGAAACAGAGAGAGTGCCTCCTTTCGGTGTTTCTTCCTGTCTCCACATCCTCTGCCCTTCTGTTCCTCCTTGCCAGATCCCTTTGGACTGCTACCACAGAAGGGCTGCTGGCAGTTCCCTGCAGAATAGGTGGGCTTGGGCCTAGGACCAGGGGTGTCTACAGAAAGGCAGAAGCAGACCCAGGCAGAGGTCATGCTTCCCACTGCCAGTGCTGGTCTGCAGCGTCTCTTTGCCATGGCCCTGCTCTTTCTCTCTGTCTTCCAAATGTACTTCACAATAGCACAAATCACACTAAAATGAAAATGATTTTTGAAAAATTATCATTTGTCCTTAGTGTTGGACTGAGGCAGGAGAGGTGCTCACTCTGTTGGTTACATCACGATGTCTTCCTGGTATTCCTCTGCCTCCTCCTCCTGGACTTGTCACTTCTCGGTTTCCTTGGCCAATGTGTTCCCATCTGCCCACCTCTTGGACTTGGAACTCCTCAGGTCTGAAGCCCTTGGATCTGCTCTTTGCACTCTTCACCTTGCCCATGACCTTGGTTTCAATCACACTCTATTCAGGGACTATTCCCAGACGTACATCCCCAATACAGACCTCTCCTCTGCACTCCATGCCTGTATAAATAATCACCTGCTTAGCATCTACCCCAGCATGTCTCAAAGGTATTCCCAAGTCAGCCTGTCCAAACTAGAATGCATCTTTCTTCTCCAGCCCACTCTTCTAGGATTCCCCATCTCAATCAGTAGCACTGCCCATCCTTTCACTGGGATGTCATTCAGGACCTTGGCTCTGGCTCTCCAAACATAACAGATCTTCTTCTCAAGTTTAAGCATCCATCATGCCTGTCCATTTTCATCTGTCATCATTATCTTCCTAACTACTCTCTCCACATCCACAACTGCTCTTCTCTAATCTTGTTTCCACACAAGACCAGAGTGATCAATGTTAAAAGCATAGGAAATCATAGCACTACCTTGCTTAATACAGTACAGTGCATAGCAGTGGCTTCCCCTGCTCTTAAGGAAACCCATCGGCATCTTTAGGATGGCTATGAGCCCTGCACCCCTGGCTCCCACCCAATCACTTTACCTCTGTTTTGAGCTTCTTTTGCCTTTGCTCTGCACAGAACCAACTGACTTCTTTCAGTCCCTTCAGTAGATCACACTCTTCCTCTATGTTAGACCCCTGGCTAATGTCCTTAACTCTGCCTAGGACAGAGTCCCCTAAAAACTTAGTCCCCTAGGAACTCCTGTCTTACTTTTTTTCCACTGCTGAGACAAAACACCTGACACTCAAAGTTGGAGGAGGAAAGACTTATTGTAGCTTACATTTTATAGAAGTTTCACTCCATAGATGACTGACTGGAAGGCAGAGCGCCATGGCAGAGGGGAATAGCAGTGAAGGAACAGTCCATGGCATGGCCGACAGAAGGCAGGCAAGCAATGAGGCTGCCTTCCTTCTGCCTTTTTCTCCTCCATCCAGCAACTCGATGCTGGAGGAATGAGATCAAGGCAGCTGTAGGGCTGGCTCCTTCCAAAGCTGTGAGGGAGGATCTGTTCCATCTCTAGAGAACTGGGACATTTCTTAGCTTAGAGAAGCATCACCTCAGCTCTGCCTTTGTCTCCACCCAGGGCCTTCCCTACACCTGTGTCAGTGAAAGCCCTTACTATAGACTAGGGACCCACTACATTAGTATAAGCTCATTTTGACTAATTACATCTGCAACAGCTCTATTTCCAAATAAGGACACTTTCTGAGTCCTAGGGATTAGGACTACAATGTAAGAATGAGAAAAGGGGTCACAATTCTACAGCTCTCAGGTAGGTGCTTAAAGGGTCACTAAACTAAGGTGATTTTCTGGGGCTTCTTTCTATTCTAATAGTCTAGGAACTGGTTATTACCCCTTGTTCGTCTCCAAGGTTGCATCCTCCAATTGTATGTTGTCATAATCCCGCTCTGTAAACTTATTATTCAAAGCACTGATCACTGTTGTTAACTGTTAGTCAAATAATCACACCAGTAAAAGTATCTGTTGCCCATAGATCATCAGCTCCATGAGGAGCTGCATCCACTTTTGTTGACAAGTGTGTGCCCAGGCCTGGTGTGCAGTGGCCTTTTACTAAGCACCCATCAGTGACCACTAAAGTGCAGGTCATTGCAGAGAAGCTGGGCTTTTCCCCTGAGTCTGCTCAGCACTTGGCCTGCCAAGCCAGAAGTCACTGACATGAGAAGGGCTGAGGCAGACCCACCGTGTCAACTGCTGCCCAGTCCAGTGACCCTGGAGATTCCAGCACGGGTTCTCCCGAAAAGCCAAGGCTATACTAGACAGATGCCTCTGACATTTGTGAGCACCCTGAATGCCAAGTGTTACTCAGTGTCACCAGTGATTACTGCGAGGGCTCTGACTTCCCTAGAGGTCTTAAAAACAGCTCACTTCCTTATAGACTGGAACAGCTTAAGTAGGTACTTATAGGCTGACTAAGATAAAGTGACTTCCTGGGGCCTCTTTCAGCTCTAATATTCTAAGAACTGGTTATTTGAATAACGTAGAACATGGTCCCTCCATGCAGACAGAAAGAGATCCTTAATCTCTTAACCCTCTGACCAATATTTCTATTCACCAGTCACTGGGGACACCACAGTGGAACAATGTGAAACCCAGCAAGGTCAGGGGCTTTTGCACAGATGTTCCTGTGACACTGTTGGGCCTGCCTCCCCCTGTGCTCAGGGGAGTAAGTGCTGCCTCTGCAGAGTGTTCACATGGTTTAATGTCTGGCTTCTGTGTCTTGCGCTCTCTTGGCATAAGGAATGTTGAACACTCTCAATGTTGGACTTCCAGACGCTTCAGCCCATTGACCTGCCACGAGTACTGGCCTCTGGAAGGCTCCCACACCAGCAAGGGACCCAAACAAGGCACACAGCAAAGGTGAGTTGTGGCACCCGGGAGAGGTGGTTCGCTGAGGCCAGAGTCCTGCTCGCCACCTTCTCCCTGCTCTCAGTAGTTGAGAGCCAGCTCAGGCCATCATGCCGAGAAGCCCTGGAAGCTATGCTCTTACCTGTGCCCACTCCAGCCGCCTCCTCCTCTTTCCTCTGGGATCAGCACTGAGTACTCTGGCTTTGTGGTAGAGACAGAGCCATGGGAATTAGCAAGAGGGATTCAGCGTGGAAATAGGTTCTAGGAGCTGGCAGAATCTGCAGGAAATCCACACAACTTTTCTCTTTCACCACTTTAAATCCTTTTGCTGGGGCCGGGGAGATGGCTCAGTAGAATAAGTGCTTGCCTGGCAAATAAAGGGTCTTGAGTTCAATCCTCGGTTCTGCAAAAAATAAAATAAAAAATTTTAAAAAATCCTTTTGTTTGGGGGTGGGGGAGAGAGCTCAGTAGAATAAGCACTTGCCTGCCAAGTGCAAGGTCCTGTATTCAATCCCTGATACCCCCCCAAAAAAATAATAATAATAAATCTTTTTGTTCTCAGTTTTGGGGAGAAACCTTATTTACAGATTGTTCCTGACCCCCCGCCCCCGACACATACACGGAGTTGTGAGGGAGGAGTAACTTCCCACATTCTCCACTGTGATTCATCTTGGAGCCAGCTGATTTCCAGTGTATTCACTGGGTGCCTTGCGAGCGCTGTCCAGACAGTCAGTGCCCCAGGCCCAGGCTGTGTCCATGCGCTGACTAAATCTGCAGAGTCGGCCCCACCCCAAGGCTGCATGGGCTTCCACAGCACTGTCCCAGGGGCAGTGCAAAAAGCACATCTTAACTCATCCCTGCCCTTTCCTGCAACGGCAAGTGACAGAGACAGTGGTTATCTGTTTACTCTGACAACCAAGGTCACAAGTAATCAATGTCAACTCCTCCCCAGCTGCCATTCTCCGGAGCGCTTATAAAAGAATACACTATACAGAAATAGATTCCATTTACACGTGCGTAGCTGCTCTCTTCATTTCACAGCCAGCCAACCAGGCAATGGGAGAAGAAGAGAATCTCATCAAGCTAGAGCACATTTCTTGGGAGACAGTAACAGGCATCTGTTTGCAGGCGAAATGATATATTGCAAAAATAAGACTGGCAAAACCTTTGCCTTCAAGGTTTGCAGAAATCTACAGCAGCTAAAAACAGCCAAATGCCATTTGAGGCAAGTGACGTGGTACAAAGGACTCTCAGGAGCACACAGTGGTCCACCTTTCTCATCCCAAAAGATTGTAGTATGGAATGATGGAGTAAGATCTCACGTTGTTCCAAAAAGGATTCAAGGTTGTAGACTACAGAGTCAATAGCAAGTCACTCCATACTAATGGCCATGTCATCTTTCACAGCCAGAACTGGAAAAGAAAATGCAAACTCCAGTGTACACTTCTGGGAAAAGACAGTATTTCCATAAACTGCAAATGCTGGAAATGAACCGTAAAAGACAAGAGGTAAATAGGGGAGGGCTATCAATAATCACCAAATTGACATCGCGTAATCATTACACTGCCTACATGAAATAGTCAAGCCTACATGTCCACGGTTTCCTTGGGGTTTCAAGCAATAGCCCTGGGGCTGAAGATTCATCTACTGTAGCCAAAAGATCCCTTCTGCTAACAGCCCTCTTGAGCATATCCCATTTGTTGTCACCTCAAGAATGTATCTATGCCTCCAGAGTTTTTCTTAAAAAAACAGGTCACTCCTCTGACATTCTGGCTCCAGCAGGGAAAATGGGGTAGATAATTCTTCCTGGTTTAATGAAAGGAAGATGGGTAGGAGGAAGAATTGGTTTTTCTTCTTTCTATTGCTCAGATCTGGTCTTGCTCCATCTTCTGCTGCTAAAACAAAATATCATAGTTTAGGCAATCAACCAAGTAAAGAAATCCATTTTTCACACCCGTGGAGGTTGGGAAGTCTCAGGTCAGGGTGTGGCATCTAATGAGGGCCTTCTTGCTGTAGTTCAGCTTGGAAGAGGGCATCACCTGGCAAGAGAGTGAAAAGGTGGGATCGGGAGAAACCCAAGCCATGGAACACACTTGTACAACCTGCTCTGCCGAGGACTAACCCACTCTCAGAGCACAGGCCTTGCTCTTACGGAAGGTGGAGGCTTCATGACCTAAACATTTCTTATGGGCCCCACCTCCAGACACCATCAACGTGAAGCTGGGCGTTAAATTTCCAACACACTCATTTTGTGAGGCACATCCAAGTGCAGCAGAGCTCTTGTCATAAACTCCTTCAGCAAGAATGTCCCATCACTGTCACATTCTGAATTCCCTCCCTTTTAGAATAAGCTCATGGTTACTGTCTTCTACAGTTCCAAACATGTCAGCCCACAGAGAAATGCCTCCACAACCATCCCTTCCTAGTTGAGCTGTACCTTCTCAAGGAGTAAGCCAGTGAATAAAGAAACCCTCCCACATAACTTCTAACAGAGAAAAGAAAGCTAACGTAGTTGGGGAGCTACAAACATCCACAGAGAGTCTACTTTTCAAAGTGACCAATCTGTTGTTCTGCCCTGGTGAAAGCAGCTTGGGAGAATTAACCACTTACAGCTGATTGTTTCCAGGCCCAGCTGGAATTGAAGAAACGTCTTCACAGGGGAGCAAAAGTGAATAAGCAAAAACTGAGAGACCATAAAGCTAAAAAATCATTTCACAGTCTCCCAAGGAATGACAACTGCGGCATTCTAACCATGCTGCCTGACGAAACCATGAACAGAAGCCTAGGTGAGTCCTGTTATCTTTTGTTAGTAAAATATTTCACACATTTCAGAACTGTGGTCAAACAAATCTCCAGGATGAGGGTGGAGAAGACAGTGAGAAGACAGAAACAGCCTTGGCTTTTGGCTGATATCTACTCAGAATGCAGTGGGCATGTGGTGAAAAAGATAGAAATGTAAGGTCTACAATAAAATGTTGCCTTCTTTGTGTAGGTTTGTAGTTCTCGCCCCATCCCTAAGATAAGGTACAGTGCCCTCATCTGCTGGCAGAGAAGGAAGCCCATGGGGAGGCATCGCACTACCCCTGGCTGATGCAACTCTCCCTGAGCTGATTCTGTCCCGAGCTGTGCTCCTCCCTTTGCAGATGGGCCCACCTAGGCACAATCAGACTGTCTAAAATGAACAAGCACCGTCACCCTTTGCTGGCTGGCTCCACCTGTCACCTCCACTGCCTCCGTGGGTGTGGCCTCCTTGCCTGGAACCCTCTTCAGCCCTTCTTCCTCAGTGAGCAGCTGAACTGCTCCCTCACAAAGTCCTGCTGAGTGCTGAAATCTGCCCTCTTTCTTCTGTTCCCAGGGTGTCACCTTAGGCTGAGCCCTCAGCCAATCACTCCAAGGCCATTGCCATTGCCACTGCCACCCAACCAGTCTCCTCCCCTTAGGTCTTGCCCACTCTCTGCCAACCCTCCACATCAGGGCGTCTCACCAGTCCTCAGGATCAGTAGCCCTGATGGGGGATGAGTCACTGCTCCAGCCAGTGGAACCCAGTTGAGGTGCAGGGATGAGGCCCAGCATCTGGATTTAAAGCCACTCTCCCACCCCCCAACCCCAGGGGATGCTGCTGTCCCTTCAGATGCTGACAGGAAGTGCTTTTCACAGCCAGCACCATTACCCTCCCAGGTGAGAATGACAGACCCTCCCAGACCTACTGAACCAGGTAGGGTCATGAAAATCCCAGTGGACTCACATTGGAAAGCTCTAGAAGAGCTGCCCCAATGCAGGGAAGCTCATAAAATGCAAATCTGACCAGATCATTCTCCTGATTTAAAAAAAAAGGTATCATTCAGTGAACCTCCATCCATTTAAGGACAAAAGCTGAGCTTCGTAACACAAGACCCTACGCCTCCCAAGATCTAGTTCTCCCTACCTTCCTAGCTTCGCCTCCTGCCCCTCGCACATCCAGCCCTTCCCTCTCAGCCAGCCAGACTGCATGCTTCTCAGCCTACAATTGCACTGTGCTTCCTGACAGACATCTGTTTGAGTACCCTCCGGGCAGCTCCACCACATAGGCCAGAGCCCGTGCAGGTTCCCTCCTCCTAGTCCTCAAGACAAACCTGCAAATGCAAATGTTCCACGTTGTTCACACACATTGCAGGTCACCCTCACATCAGCCCGGCTGGCCACTGAGACAGCTGTGGAGACGCAATTGCACCTCTGGACATCTCAGCTGCTGAAATGCAAAACTGCCTGCTGAAAGAGGCACTGCCCTGCTCAGAGGAACAAGATGCTTAATTGATAAGTTAATTAAATAGAAAAGGCTGAATAACTGAAAATCTACTTGGGGCATCCATTTAACCCATGCTCCCAAGTCTCAGAATGAAATATGTCACATAGTTACATAATGAAACACCTTTTCTAATGAAAAAACTATTGGTAAAACCACCAAGAAAATAGTCTCAGCTAAGTCATCACTTGGGCTTGAGAGCAGGCCCAGAAGAGCCAGCATTAGTTGTAGAGAGGTCTTTGGCCCGGAAGGACTCAGGATAGGTGGTGGCACTCAGAAAGGTAGCTTTTCTCCTCTTCTCCTGAGGTGGGTTTTTGGTTTTTTGGATTTTTTTGTTTTTGTTTTTGTTTTTACAGGGGGGGGTTGGTACAGGGTCTTGCTACGCAGTTCAGACTCATAGTGATCTTCCTGTTTCAGCCTCCCCAGTGCTAAGATTACAGGCATGTGCCACCACACCAGGTTTTGGGGGCCACTCAGTACCAGGGATAAACCTGGGTCCTTGTACTTGCCAGGCAGGTGACTAGACTGCTGAACTATCTCCCCAGCGCTTTCTGAGGTCTTTTTCTTCTCTCTCTCTCTCTCTCTCTCTCTCTCTCTCTCTCTCTCTCTCTCTCTCTGTTTTTATGTATTTGGTACAGGGCCTCACTACACAGCTTGGACTTGTAGTGATCCTCCTGCTTTCAGCCTTCCTAGCACTGAGATTACAGGCATGTGTCACCATGCCCGGTCTCAGTGGCCTGCCTGCACAGCATGCCCTATGGTGGGGCCAATGTGGCATGTGGTGCTGGGGACTGAACCCCGGTCTCTAAGCTTGCCTAAGCAGGTACTTAGTTTGCTAAGCTATCTCACCAGTCCTCCCATTTCATTCTTGCACAACCTCAAAGACAGGAGTTTCTGTTCACTCCAATGTGGCAGAGCCAGGATTGAAGGCCCGGGATCTCTGACCTTCCACTGGTGTGGCTTCAGCAGAGAGCCAAGGACTCAGAAACTGTCAGGGGAAGCCCTGGGGGCACTACTGGGACACAGGGCAAGCCTTTGACTGATCTTTCAAGAGAAGGCTGTGCCCTGGAGGCTTCCCAAAGGATGCAGTAGTGCCTGGGAGAGGAGGACCACATGTGCTGCTGCCCCTTGCCCTCTGGGTGGGGACCAAAAGGCTAACTCAGGCAGGAGTGACCAGACATGGAGGAGGTGGCACTATCGGCAGGCCTGTGTGTCAGAAGCAGAGCCAGCGGAGGAGTGGGTAGGTTCTAGCTTCATACTACTGAATCAGAATCTTGGGGCAGAAGTCTACTTTTTAAAAGTTTCCCAAGTGATTCCGAGGCTTAGCCAAACTTGGATGGACTCAATAACTCTTGAAAGCTACCTTAAATTTTATATAAGTCTTTCTTTGCGATGACTGATTATTCCTGTGTGAATACACAAAAAATGAGCCCAGAGGATGTGGATTTTCCTAGCATCAGATATTAAGTCTAAGTCTCCTTCTTGGAAGGACATTGTGTACAGTCCCCGTGCCACAGAGGAAATGAGCTGCAGCAGCCACCTGACTGCGCCAAAGTTGTCATAGAGGTAGGAGGGAGCCATGATGTTTGTGTGAAGGCAGAGAGACCAGCACGCACACCAGATCTGCCACTCTCCTCTGAGCTTTCACTCTCATACCCTCTTACACACGAGAAAGTGCAGGGCACTGGGAAAATAGTGGACAGGGTACTATTGACAAAATGCTCCTAACACTTTTAAATGGATTATGGAATCCTCCCCATGCCATTTCTGGGAAGGGAGGATTTCTCCCCCTTTCTGTTACAGACCTGTGCAGGACAAGTCTGTGCTCCAGGTCACACAGAGGGCAGGGAAACTGCTCAGGGGACACAAGTTCAGGGTGCTGACTGAGCTTGCACACACACTTCGCTGCACCGGGCAGATGCTCTAGCAAGGGCTGCTTCCTCCTTTCTGCCGAAGACCATCTTTAGCTTCTTTCCTGCCTCCTGAAGGTCGCTTGCTTTGGTTTCTCCCACAAGTGAGTGGGGTCAAGGTCATACACTGCCATGAGCTGAACTCAGGCCAGTTGGGGTCTGGCAGCTAAGGTGTCTCTCAATGGCAGGGTCATCCTTCCCTTTTCCCCTTTTGGGAGGTTGGATGAGAGTCTCAGCTGTCTTGTGAGATCCAAAATCAGCTTGCTGCTGCCTCTTCAAAGAGTAATCACGTACTCTTCATGTTACACATATTTATGTGATGAATTCCATACAACTACATAGCGATGTAGCTTATGTAATCACATCATACGCACGAAGTGAGCCTCACTCTTGGGGCGTACAATTCGCTGAGTTTCGTTGTGTTACGTGGCCCCTGCCCTTTCAGAATCATGTTTTGAACAGTGTGAGGAAGGGCACTGGAGTTACAAGCAAAGCCTCCCACAAAGCCCAGCGGCACACTTGCTAAACAAGCTCCATGAGGACAGGCAACTTTCATTGCCCCGGGGTGGCCTGGTACCAAATAGTCTCCTAATAAAAACCAGTCACGGGTTGAGGAGATGGCTCAGTGGAATAAGTGCTTCCCTGGCAAGTGCAAGGGCCTGAGTTCAATCCCTGGTTCCACAAAAAAAAAAAAAAAAGTCACATGTGTTTTCTGCAAGGTTCTTTTCTTTAAAGACAGAGAATATGACTAAATTCCAGCTATGGAATCTCTATGAACCTAAGTGTCCACATGTGCAAGTGGGAATAAATATTGTCTATCATGTACGGTTTATGTAGAAATTAATCTTGCATGTGTCGAAGTACATAGAAAATATAAAATGCCATAAGAAATGTATGGAAATACAGGCAAAACTTTTAAGGGTAGAATTCATGCCTTAGAGTTAAACAATCATATGCTTCACAGAAATATCACCCAAATCTATCATTTGAAAATCATCTTTGCAATTTTGGTCTTACCTGGCTACCTGTACTAGTTTTCTATAAAGAACATTAATTTATTTTTAAAACTATAGGATTATTTGTAAAATTAAGGGTGTACTATAGGGTGATTCATCTTTTCTAAAACATATAAAATATATAACCACCATTTTCATAACTCATATTTTCTCTCTGTCTCTGTCTCTCTCTCTGTCTCTGTGTCTCTGTCTCTCTCTCTCTCTCTCTCTCTCTCTCTCTCTCTTTCTTTTTCACACACACACACACACACACACACACAGAGGCAATTCTTGCTTTTCTTTCTCCCCAAGTTAATTTTGGTACAGAACTTAATTCCCTCTACAATGTTTCACTCAAAGCCCTTTTAGCTTTTGTTGGCTGTATTTTTATTTTTATTGATTTTAAGCCTGTCACCCACAGAGAATCAAACATCTTATAAACACAACAAATGAAACATCTAGCTCAGAAGTTCTCAAACTGCAGTGCTGTGTACACCCAACCGTGTGCATAAGACTGTCTGAGTGATGAGGGTTGCCTTTCAAGGCTGAACGTGGGTACTTGGCCCACAATCTAACTTTCGACCTGAATTTTCACAGTAACGTCAAGGCTGTTATTGGACACGTGCTATCATTACTATTATATTAGTACCACATGGGCTAACAAACATTTTCTGTATGAAAGCTTCTGCCTCTAGCCAGATGTTCTAGAACATTCCTCCTCTCAGTCTGTGGGATGCCTCTAGCAGTTCCTGGCTCATTCACAGAGCAGAGATAAGGGACACCTCTAAGCACCAGTGAGTAGTCTTTCCCAAGTCCCCTTACCATTACTTCTACCTCCTAAGTTTCCTGACCTTTTATTGTTGTATTGGTTGAGTCATTCACTTACTCAACAGATAGCTCCTGAGCACACACTGGTGCCAGACACTTCTCGGTGCTCAGCACTTGGCAGGGAGCCAAGCAGATGCATTCCTGGGCTGCAGAGCCTTTCCAGGACACACCATGAGTCAGATGTCCAGAGGCAGAGTATTACTGGCAAAACTGGTAACCTGCAGGCCAGGGCATAGTTCCATTGGGAAGTGACATTACGATAGGACATGAAGGAAAAAGAGTGCTTGTGCGTGTGAGGACCAGGGATGCTGCAATGTTCAAAGCAGTACCCAACACCAGGATGTGCAGAAGCCCTGCAGTGGGAGCGAGCACAGTGCCTTCTAGACACGGGGCAGAGATTCAGAGGGTGAAAAGAGATGGTTCCAGAGACTTCCGCAGTGGCCTCACAGAGTGTGTCAAATACAGATCTGGAACTCTTAAGATCAGTGGGAACACTGACAGGGCTGGGAAGTAGCGTGATGGGTGTTTTGTTTTGTTTTGTTTTTGTTTTTTGTGGTGGAACCAGGGATTGAACTCAGGTCCTTGCGCTTGCCAGGGAAGCACTTATTCCACTGAGCCATCTTCCAAGCCCCCTTGATCAGGTATTTTAAAAAATATTCACTCCATCTACACTGTGGAGAATGGGCAGGAGCAAAATGTAAAAGGATGTAGGAGACATGTTGTAAAGGATAACAGCAGCACAGGTGGCGAGGATGTGCACTCTGGGAGACTGATGTGAGGGGAAGAATAGAGAGAAGAAACCAGACCCTTTCAGGAGACAGCATGGCAGGAGCTGATGACGGGTCAGAGGTGGGTACACAGAGCGGGAAAGAAGGCCAGGGGGACTGCTGGGTTCCTCTAGTGATGGGGCAGGTAATGGGGCACCGACGGTTCTATTTCCTGGATTGCAGCACCCAGAAGCAGAGCAGGTTTGTGAGAGAAGAGGTGAGGCTGACACACGGCCAAGTGGACATCAAAGCAGTGGTGCTGGGGGCTAGAGAGAGAGCTCAGTGGAATAAGTGCTTGCCCAGAAAGCACGGGGTCCTGAGTTTGATCCCTGGTACCACCAAAAAAAAAAAAAAGGCAGGTGTCCTTTTTTGAAAAGGGCCACAGTAATTCAGAAGGATGGTCTGCAGGAATGTTAGCTGCAGTGACCTGTCATGGATGGGGCTGGGCAACAGTCACAATCATGAAGATACTCGCAGGGAGAACAGGGAAGCCCTCCCTGAGGCTGAAAGCCTCTAATGAATCACAAGGCACAAACCTTCACATCAGCGTGCTGGACTCTCATTTCATCAAGCTGTATATATTTTAAACGTTCTGGCACTCTGGGGGGCTGAGACAAGAAGATATCAAGTTCAAGTCCAGTTTCAATTTAGTGAGATTCTGTTCCAAAATAAAAATAAAAAAAAAGGGGCTGGGGATATAGCGCGGTGCAAAGTCCCTAGGTCTGATCCCCAGAACTGAAAAAAGGAAGGGCATAGCTTTTGTATGCCAGTTATACCTAAGTAGTTTTTCAAAAATATGAGGCTGAAGAAAAAAGAAATGGTGGCTTTCTTATACAATAGAATGTAACTGCTGCTATCAAGAGTTTAAATAATATATGCCAAAAGTTTCAATAGACAATGATCACTAAGATGATTTAGACTGATAGATCCACACTAGGGGAGACCATGGGGTTTAATCCAGGATTATTTTCCTGATTAAAGTGGTGGGGAAGATTTTATTTTCTTGAAAGCTAATCTTTCTTAAGCAAAACTCTGTTATTCTGGGCATTCTAAAAGGATTCTGGATGCGGCTTAAATAAAAAGTTACAGTAAATACATATTTATGCACAAAAAATCTCACATGAAAAAATGTCTTTTCTAGTAAAAA